CATCACCTCAGACACCCACGCACTATAATTAATAAATACTGAAAAAATATGAGTAATTCCAGGTAGAAACACTGAATACTTTAGGTTGGAAAATCTTACATATTTTTGTTTACGTTCCATCCTGATGCCTAATAAACATATTAGCAGTAAAATATACAATTACAACCTATTATAATAGATAATATACAAATTATCAGTGGGTGTTGTATTGATTCCTTTGCAGACACTGATTGCGGGGTGGGACGAGCTGGAGTGCCACAGAGTGTTCAACTTCCTTTGTGACCTGACAAACCTGCAGCAGAAAATTGAAGCGGTAATCACTGCCAAACCAGGTGTGTGTGTGTGTGTGTGTGTTTCTGTGTGTGCCGCTGAATGTAGAAGAGGCCGGTGCTGAAATGCAATACAGAGAACAAGCCATCCTTTCTGTTAAAGCCGGCGTGTCCGGTCTCTAATACTTGTCGACAGTTTATTTCACTCCCCCAGGGTCAGATTCATGGTGCTGAAGTAAATGACAAGCGTGATTTCCCGAGGTGGTTCTGAATCTGAATGGCTAAAAAACACCAGCAGAGACACTGAGCTTAAAGTAGTGCACAGGGATGAAGTGAGACGGGCCGACTGAACAGCTGCTATCAAACGCTGGGGCTTTTACTGTTGGCAAATGTGTTTTAGATTTTAATGTCAGGGTGTCACCAGACTTTTTTTTTTTAAAGCTTTAGGTTCTAAGTTTATATTTGACAAGGCCTCAAGCAAAAAAAAAAAAACCTTCAGTAGTTCTCACACAGTTTTTTTTCCTTGTTTTTTCGTATTTAGTCTTGTTTTTAGTCTTTTTAACCTTTTGTATGTGTTCGTTTTGTCTTATTTCTGACTTATCAATGACCCTAAAGCACTCTAAACTCCACTCAAACCAATGAAAGGTCCGATACAAATACAATTTGATCGATTGATTGTGTGCTGTTGAGCCTGATGACGGTCTTTGGAGGGTACTAGCATGTTTAAATCTGTTTGTACGTCTGTCTGCAGGGACGAGGGGCCACCAAGAGCTGCAGCTTCGTCTGTTCTGCCGTCGGGTTCTGTTGGACCCGCGGCCGTGCCACTTAGAGTATCGGTTCTGGCTCATGCAACTCCTGAAGCCGTGGCCCATGGTCAGCCAGGCTCACTTGCTGTTCATCCTCTATGGACCCCTGCGGCCTGAGGGTGAGGATGCAGAAGAGAATCTGTTGGGCTAATTTTGTTCTATTGATTAATTAGTTTTAGCTTCATTTAAACTCGTAGAGGTAAGTTTATTTCTTTGCACTGTGTCCCGAATAGTTAGACGTTAATTCTCTAAACTGAGTGATGTGCAATCCAGTTTTCTATAATTTTCTATAATAGTTTTAATCTCAAACAGATAATTTTCTGCACCTGATTTCTTTCTTGTGAGAAAGCTGCCATTTTGATTGTTTTGACTGAAATACAGTCTGTTACACTGACAGTGTGAGGCCATCTGCTTGAACAAGTGCTCAGTAGGTAAAAGCAAAGTACAAAAATAATGGACCCCAGTAAAGCGTCTACTCTGTGGTAGAGGCCGCCAGAGTCGCTTGTAGTGTTGCATTAGCTTGTTTGTTGCATAGGGATGCTGGACATTATGCGTTAAACGAATGCGGTGCTCTCCTCCACGCAGGCACCCTCGGCTGGCAGGACCTGGTGGAGAGGGGGCTGCCTCACGCTGCTCTGTGGGATCTGGCGAAGGCCCTCCTCATGCTTTTCAGCAAAGCAGAAGTCAAAGGCTGGACCACTGACTCGACGCTGGCAATCTTTGAGGAGCTCACTGGTACGTCAGTGGTTGTCAAATGTTTCAGACCCCCAGGGGGATGCACAGTGGGCTTAACGAATACCAGATGAGGAAAAAAACAAAACTAATCATCATGAGGAGGGTTTGTTTGTCAAAAACAGAATTAGGTTTTTGATTTTTCAGCTGATGTCTTTATTTCTGCACCTCTTTGAAACATTTCAGTTTGTTGATTTAAAGCTGAAACTAATATTGCTATTTAACTGATAGTAGTCCCAAGTTGTTGTTCTTCTCCTCCCCAGTCATTCCTCAACCGTGGCACGTGGAGAACATCGCTCGTCTCTTGGTGCTGTGCGGCAGCAAAGTCTGCTACACGGTTCTGGCCAGCAAGGCTGTCAGTGGACGACTCCTCGACATCTCAAGACTCATCGTGTACATCGTACTGGTGAGAACACCATGTTGTAGCTTCAGATTAGTAGAAAGAAGGAAACTGACTTCAAGTTAAGCCTCGTCAGGTAGATTTGGATGTGATTGGCTTTGAGATCATCAGACTGCCCTCACTGAGCCGTCGTACAACTTCTATTATTTGATTTTCACAGAACAGTCACATGTATTCATGCCAGTCTTGTGTATTATCCTCTCATGGCACGAGGAACCACTTGTGCTGTCCATGGTGCTGATTTTTTTTCCTTTTTTTTGTAGCTTCCTGAGAGTAAAGCAGCTTTTATTCAAACGCCCTTCTATGTTTTGGTGTCTCACTGTGGGAAAAGCAGACACAGTAAATCATGCCAGTTGACCACTGTGCACAAACAACTTGATTTTATTAATCTGAAAGCTATGACAACATCAGGAAAGCACTTTGGGTCAGTGACTTCCATTTATAAATGTGCTGTGTAAGGGAAACTGAAAAAAAAAGATGTACTTGTTTCGTTTTCCGTCTTGTGTTTCTTCACCCTCCAGGTGTGCGAGAAGGACGGCTACCACATGAGCTGGGCGGTGAAGCTGGTGCAGCAGATCACCAACGTCTTCAGCACAGTTCCCGAGAAGTTGTTCTTCATCCAGCAGCTGGAGAACATGTTTTCAGGGGTCACTCGGGAATTCTTTGAAGTTTCTGTTGCAGGTGAGGCGACGCAGCTTTCTGGAGACTTCATATTATTTCCTCTAGTCCAAAAATACGTTGGGATGGATGACTTGTACGGACACCCTGCGTCAGTGATAGAATCCTTTAGATATATGTAAGTAAAGACTTAGCAAATAGGACAGGTTTGAGCCAAACGAGGTAAAACACACTGAGAAGATGTGAAGGCTGAGCTTTTTTGTACTTCGTTAAGGACAAATAGGAGAAACAGTTACCAAAAAGCTACAAGCTATAAAAAGTAATAGCATAAAATTGTGTGTGAACATTGTGGCCTCAATGTTGAGAGACGAGGGGATTCAAATTTACAGATGTTGGGATGTATACTCACACACTGTATTGATACTATACACAAGCTACACACAGAGAGCAACACTCAGCTATATTAGGGGATTGTGTAAACACGGCTGTGGTATAGATGAGAAACTAATTTTGGCTGGAATGTGAAGCAGCTTGTTTTGAAACTCTACGCTTTGACAGGTGGCTCTGTGTGTGTGTGTGTGTGTGTGTGTGTGTGTGTGTGTGTGTGTGTGTGACACCTCAGACAGATGGCATTTACTGGGAACTCGTTATTTTTGCCTATTTTACTGAAAATATTTTCAGCTCGGATGGATATGTTTTCATCTCAATTTTGTCACCCGCAGCAAACCTTCATTTGTCTCTGATTGCGTCCAACGTTAGAGTTTTCATACGACTGGAGGGCGCCGTGTATTGTGTCGTTTGACTCGTGTAGATACGTGAGAAATAAAAGAAAAACGAGGCAGTGATTGATACGTCCTTGAAGTACGACGATAAGTCAGTAACGCTGCTGTCGGTTTCCAGGGAACCGCTTTGAGGACAGAGAGACTTTCCAGACCCTGTGCGTCCTCCTGGACTCCAGCGCTCGCTTCCACACCAGCTTCATCCACATGTTTCTCAGACAGGAATTACACACATTAAACGAGATGTGATGAAGAGCGAAAGAAGAGAGGCGAAGGAACAAATGTCAGTAATGAAGCCGGTTAGCTAACGAAGTGATTAAAAGCGCGAGACATCAAACGGGTTGTGAAAGCAGAGTTGAAGCGTGTTGAGTTCAGAGAAAGCAGCGGGCGGCGGCTTCGGTTGACGAACTGGTTGAACAGAGAGCTGTTAAAATATGTTTGTTATAACAGTATGGTTTATAAAAAATGTTTGAAAGTTTTACCATCTTGTTCTTAAACCTTCTTGTTTGTTAACTTTTAACAGTATTTAATATTTATTCATTATTTGACTATTTATTCACACTGAACCTGCCTGTTTAGATGTAGTTGAATGGGTACACTGTATTTGTTCTTATTTATTAAACTGGTATTTTCAATTTGAATTTGTCGTCTGTTACGGTTCACCGTTTCTCAGCCACGATCTCTTATGAAACACAGCAAACACTCGACAAATAAGAAGCTTTTATTCATGTCCACATAGAACAACATCCAAGCAATGACGGGATTTTCAAAAATAATTCCAATCAGGCGTGTTAACAAAGAATAAAAAAAGAAGCAGCTTCAAATAAAAAAAAACCTGTTACAGAACAAAATTAAAGATATTTCCAGTTAACAGTCTGTCCGTACCTATCGGGGGGCACTTTATCACTTCACACCAAAGTCACGTACAAATTACGCTAATCGGATGTTTATTGTAGGTAAATATTAACGGTGTAGCACGCAGAGGAGATGCTTTAAGGCCTACAACATCATGGAAAGTCCAAACGCTGAATGAGGTCCACATCCCTCTGTGCAATCAGTCGGTCGTGTGCTCGTTGTTTTGATACGATCTGGCAGAAGAAGAAGAACATTTATTTATTATTTTCTATGGAATCAGGCTTTATTGTGTGTATGATTTACTGAGGGTTTGGATGCAGAAAGCAACTTTTCACGAATGGAAAAACATCTAGAGACCAAAAATAACTATCTATGGCAGGGGTGCCCAGTCCTGGTCCTCGAGAGCCACAATCCTGCATGTTTTAGATGTTTCCCTCTTCTAGCACACCTGATTCAAATGATCAGCTCATCATCAGAAGCCTGATCCTGATCATGTGAATCAGGTGTGTTGGAAGAGGGAAATATCTAAACCATGCTGGATAGGGGCTCTCGAGGACCAGGATTGGGCACCCCTGATCTATGGCGTGTACTACAGAAAAGCCTGATGTGGATGGGATTTATTTTGATGTATGTAGTGTTAATTACAGTCCAAAATAGATTTTTAAATCCCATCCAGATTCTGAGATGCAATCTACACCACAATCACGTCACATATTATTATGATGCATTTGTATGATACTTACTGTGCAATTTGTTCTGTGGGTGTGAAAAAAAACAACACACACATTAGTATGAGTGGTTTACAGCAACCCGACAGTGCTGACATTTAAATTCTGAGCCCACTGTTATGTTTTGGCCCGGTTCTATGAGTCGTACTAAGCAGACGTGTTACCTTGTAGCCAGTCCAAACCCTCCTGTAGACCCTCTGCTTTGATAGCGTTGCTGGCGCTGAAAAATAAGATGTCGAGGAGTTAATCTGCTTGTGGCACACATTCACTTTCTCATGACTTTTCTTGGATCCTGGACGTTTAAAGCGGTCTAGCTCTTAATCCGTCGGCCTCCCATCTGTCTAATGAGTAAACAAGGTGGAAGACACATGTATGAAGGCGAGCCAGGCTTTTGGGCGGCCGCATGTCGCCGTGCCCCGCCGTAATGTTTAACCTACGAGCCCTGGGACAGTCGAACGAGCAGATCCAGGAAGTAACCGGAAAGTAAACACGCCTGGCCGCGTCGTCGCTGTCTCTGTTTAAGACTTTAAGCTGTAACTTGGAAAGCATAAAATGCTGTGGAAGGGGATGTGATGGGGTTGGCTCGGTTCAGCCGCTGTAATCCACTTCCTTCAAAACTACAACTAACGCCTCCTGCACATTACTCAACAACGTCTAGTTTTTCCTGCGTTTCATCAGGATGACGGATACATTACCAGATGTGCCAGGGCTTGTCCTTGATCTTCTCCAAACTCAACATCTGCGAGACCTTCACAGAAGACATGGCGTCCCGCAGGTCCATCTTGTTAGCGAAGAACAACACTGGTATCTTTTTGCTGCGGATATCTGGACGAGAAGACAAACCAGTGAATCGTCTACTAGCTACAGAGCTTTTTTTTTTTTCCTTCTCCAAGTTGTGATGTTTGTGCAGTTCTGGGATTTTAATGCTGATACTAATTGGCTGTTTAGGACTAAAGCTGATAGTTTGTGTGCCAATGAGCTGAAAACACACAAACTCTACACTTTCCTCATAACTTAGATTTATTTAAAATTTGACAACAGAATGCAAAAAATCAATTGAAACCCAGACATTGCTAAAACTAATGTCAGTTAAATGTGTCACTTCATCCTTATAAGTTTCCTCAAGACAAATAAACAGAGGAAATATCCTATTAAACAGCTTTTCTTTCACTTTGGGTGAAATATATTTTGGTATTTGTATTTTGTAAGCATTTGGAACACGTAGAGTACAACTGTAATGTGTAAATCAGAATTGCAGGGATGGCGTACCGTCGTGGTTCAGAAGCGTGTCCAGCTCCTCTTTCGCAACAACCATCCTCAGTTTGTCACCGCTGTCGATGACAAAGATGATGGCGTGGCTCTCTCTGCACAAGACACACAAAAACACAAACCCCCACCACATTATAATCGACTGCACTAAACCGTTTTAATATTTGATCGGCGACGGTCGTGCAGTGCGTGTCCGGGTGTCGTACTTGTAGTAATGCTCCCACAGGTTTCTGTATCTGCTCTGGCCAGACATATCGAAGACCGTGAACGACAGGCTGCACGCAGAGAGAGACAGAGAGAGAGTTGGAGAAGAGACAAAACAGCTTAGAATGACACAAAGTGCTGGATTAGTTGTTTAGAATTTGGCTGCAAACTCGTCAAAATGTCATCCGCGTTCTACCTTGAACTCTTGAACTTCTCGATGTTGAAGCCAATCGTGGGGACGATCTCTTGCGCCTGTGTCTGCACGCACCGCCGCACAATACAAGCACACAGAAACAGACAAGTAATGGCAAAAGTATGTCAACGAGGAAACGATATAAGAGAAGTGTGATACGGGTTTTACCTGACTAGCATGTTTCCAGTCTTCTGACAATGGGCCTAAATGATTCGAATGCTGAAAACAAGCAATCAGTGAATGATTGCAGTGAAATGAAGATTCTGACAATAGGCCGTCTTACAATCCCAAAGATTTACGTCTGTGTGCTCACATGGCAGGACTACGAACACAAAGGCCTGTCAGTCCCACAATAATCCTCACAACAAGACATCAGAGTGCCCAGTGGCTGGAGCTCAGTGTGGTGAACTTACATTAGCTGGCTTGAGTTGGTTGATGATGGTGGTTTTGCCGCTGTTGTCCAGCCCCAAACACAGAACGTTGACCTCTTTCTTCCTGAGGCCGAGCCAGCCCGACAGTTTATCCAGCAGCCCCATTCCTCTCCTCCGACGCTACACCATTTAAAGCTTACAACACATCACCCCATAGATGGTCTGATTGCCGGGAATTCGACGCGTTTGCTGTCATGAAAGCCAACATGAATGTTAACGGCGAGCGGCGAGCTCTCCCGGCGACTTGCTGCGGATAGTGTCGCAAGCTGAGATGCTGCCTGGGCATCCCAGCTTGTGACAGGTAATCCTATTAGGGCGAATTAAGCTCAGTGAACCTCCCAGTGACCTGATCGTGGAGTGTGGAGCGTGCCAGGCCCCCCCATCCTGCTGTATTTGATTTATTACTCCAACATGTTATCTCTCTGGAGGGCCCCCCTCTTGCTTTGGGCCCCTCGGAGGCGCAGAAACACAGCGATAGCAGCAGCAGCTTATCCTCTGCATCTGTTAGTCACTTAATAACTGCAGCCGCTCTCAGTCTGCGGTGCTTTACAACCTAATCTGACCCATCTGTGAATTTTAATATATCTACAATAAATAAAAATAATGAATAAATCACAGTAGAGCAGAGGTTTATCACGTCATATCTGACCCTATGGCGTAACACAGCGACATGTTCTGAGCCCTGGAAATGTGACTTTAATGGTAAAATATGTGCTGAAGATAACTCAGAATGCAGTGAGATCAGTCAAAAAGTTATACATCCAATCTCAGATGTTCCTAATGATTGCAGGGCTTTTATTAAAACTATTCACACGTCAAGCTCTGGAGCTGGTCAAGTGGTCCAACAGCTCCATCTTTTGGAGTGAATGGCTTCATGACGAAATGGGACGTGTTCTGTCAGATCTAGCTCACTGGATTCACTGAAGGCTTCAAGGTTTCTTCGACAGGGTGAGGAAAGGTTGGTGAGGTTCCTTCTGCCGCATTCGAACGCTGAACTTCCTTTATTTTGATTCTCCGTTGTGCTCTCCCAAAGTCAAACGTGGCAACAACAAAATGAAATGAACAGTCAACCACCAGAACTGTTCATCTTTATTTGCAAATAAATATTCGCTGTAACTGCCTCTTACAGTGTGCAAGATCTACAACATCTCTTTGGAAATTATAGAAAAATAAAATACAAGAATTATAAGTATACTTGTACTTTGTACAAAAGAACGTTCTAACATTGCTCAGCAGTAGAACATGCTAAACAAACAGCATCTGATAATCTCCATATCCTGTAGAGGGGGGGTTTGGTGACTGTGAGCGTGTGTGTGCAGATGTGTGTGTGCGTCGTTGATGTGTGCGTGCACCGCTCGCCTGGACGCATGACCACGCTGTGACCGAAAGGCACACATCCCTCCATCCAGTCTCGCCCTTGACATTAATCACTGAGCTCCAGTTCGTAATAATAAAAAAAAAAAACCCACACCCGTAGACGGGCGGTTGTTCTCGTACATTTCAAACTAATGGCTAGGTCCTGTGACTGCACTGAAACGTAGAAACCACTATAAAGTGTTTGCATGTTTAACAGACTGTAAGGCATCCTGCGTGCGTTTGTGTGTGTGTTTGAGCGTGTGTGTTCGTCGCTGTCGATGACACGTGATGAGTTATGATGCTGCTGTTTCTGTTGGTTCTCTCTCCGCCTTCATGTACTGCTCTGTCCTCACCGACACCAAACTAACACTAACGCCTTTTTTTTTCTTTTTCTTTTTTCTCTCACCGGTTTCCAACAACCAGCTTTTAGCTACTTCTGCTGCCGCCCAACTCATCTAACTAGTTATACTCTGCAGCACTGCGTATTCACCACTGACGTAGAGAATGAGAAAATTCCGATGGCAAATATCTACTGCAGGTCAGAAAAATGATTCATCTGGGACTATGTTTATGTACACTGGTTTTCTCTTACTGCCACAATACCACCACCTTCACATGACCACAACGTAAGCCCACCCAGACCTGCTCTGCTAGTCTTGCACTAGATTCATCTCCTCTGACATCAATCAGTCAACTCCGTCTCAAAAAATGCAAACCGCTGCCTGTGTCGTGTTTGTGCGTGTGTGTGTCCAGGCAAAAAAAAAAAAAAAGAAAGAATGATATGAAAGGATTTCAGCAAATTCTGAAGAACCATATAAGTCCATGTTGAGTTTCCAGACAGTTTCAAATGTCTCCTATCTAGAGCTAAGTTCTGTGAACATTCATATATTAAGACGGTGGAGGTTGTGTACTTTCAGGCAATGTATAACATTCACAATTAAAAAATAAATAAACTAATGAATAAATCTGGCTGATCACTGTGAGTACACACCGGTGAGTAGACTTGTATGGTTGTTCATCTGAAATCAACGGATTGGGTTCTGCGGGTTGAGCTGAACAGAACCAGGTGGATGGCGTTGTGTGAGCCGCATGTTTCCATGCCAACAAGAGCTCTCTCATTGCACAATTCATCTTCATCTCTCTCTGAGATACTGAGGTGACTGCATAATACTGTATTGCTGATTTTGATTTAAAAAAAAAAAAAAAAGTTCTTAAATAAGATCCAGATTTACTAGGGCTTTCACATACAGGACTGCACATATATTGATATTAGGTTATAATAATAATTATTACTTGTCTATACACTTTTAAACATTCAAGAAATCTCCGTAACTTGCTTCTTGCTTCTTTCTTCAAGTATTAGTGTACCAGATTCTCTGGAGAGCGGGTAACTAAAAGCAATCCAAATAAACTTTTTTTTTTTTTAAATTATCAAACTCCAAAATAAAAATAAAAATAATTATCGAGGATATATATACTTTTTTTTTTCAAAAGGACGAAACGTTTCGATTGCACACCCGATAGCAGCTACATGAGCACATAATTCGGAGCAAGAAATGAACAGACAAAAAAACAAAAAAAAAAAAAAAGAGTCCAAAGATTCAGTAGATTACATTTGCAAATCTACATCTCTAGATATTGTTGCTCCACACACAAAGTACTGCTGTTGCAACAAGGCATTACATTCCCCTAAGTGAGGGCCTGGGCCAGTCTGTAAAGTCTATCAGGCTGTAATAGTCTGGCAGAACCAGGCGGACCGTGTCAGGGGGTGTACAGTAGAAAACGTTTGTTACTATGGGACGTGTGGGACCAGGGGGGAGTCTGCTGGAGCAGTCTGGCCGATGACCTCCTGCACGAGGGGTTAAGACTCAGGCACAGGCTGCAGACTGTCTGTCACACGGTCTAGACTTCACTTCCATCTGGTCCGTCTGTCTGTCCGTCCCAGGTCGTGTGTGAGGGTGTCCTCATACATGGAAACCCTTCTCCTGTTCGTGCAGTAGCTGAAGGTGGAGGTTCTGTACGCTGCTGACGATCCGCCTCTGGTGGCCGATCAGCTCCACGCCAATACGCCTCACATCTCTAGGCCGAGCAGGGAGACACAAAGACGCACAGACAGACACGCAGAACGCTTTAGACTAAACTGCGAGTGTGAGGACTTCACAGTGAAAGCATTTATTTCCTTTTAGAGACCGTAGAGAGCGGTAAGAAGCAGTGGCCTTTTGATCGTACGGCACAGATAAAATCCCCTTATCTCTCTAAAGGTCAGGAAAGGATGAACACCAGAATCATTCTGAATCGCTCTAATCTTGTGAAAACATCTCACACTTCTGTATGAACAAAGAGTAAGCAAGTAAAAAAATTAATAAAACTGAGATCATTTATTTAATTAAAGGGGTACCAGCTGGCATTTTCAGAAACAAAAAAAAGCCTGCAGAGGGTGAGAGATCCTAACTTCTGGCCTTACGACTCTGACATTATCAGAGCTGTTGTCCCTTTATTTAGAACCTCCTGCTGTATGTGCACATGTAAAGTAAACATGAGTAAATTGATTGATTGAGCCTTAAAACCGCCATTGTTGCCACACAGTTAGCTTCTATTCACCGACAAACCCCTAAAAAAAACTCATCTTATTTATTTAACTAACATATTGAGTTAAGTTTTTTCCATGAACATTGTAATTTTGGACCCCAGCCATCGAAATCAGTGCTTTTTTCTCGTTCAGCCGTGGTTCTGGCTGCTTATTCCACTAATAATGAGTCTTCCAGTATATAAAAAACACCATATGGACACGTTAACAAAGCAAAAAAAAACTTTCGCCAGTGGCCGTCTTTAAATAACGGTTATGTTTCAGTTTCTCTACTCACTCAATACTCATCCTGGCTACAGAATCCAATGTGTTGTAGCCCGCTGCCATGAAATTGCTCTTGTACTGACTCATCTTGATGGAGTCCAGCCAGTCGCCGACAGAGATGAACATTGGGTAGTCCATTTCTTCCCCCGGAGATTCTGGTAGACTGATAGGGAAAAAAGGGAAAAAAACACTTAATATCAGATCCTGCCTGTGTTTTTTTTAGAGCATCCCAGAGTTCAAAAAACTTGTGGAGATGAAACAAAGTTCTCCGAGTGACACGTATTTGGAGATACTTTCAGGCGTAGGAGTAAAAGCATTTATCAAGTTTCAAGGGAAGTAATTCTGTCTTTGCCAGGATTTGGGGAGAGTTGTCAGTGTTTATTGTAGCTCCAACAACTCTCACGTTCTGTTCTGAGTTAAGAGCACTCCCACAGATTGGAGAGCCTGAAAAATATGTTTCCTGCTCGCATCCATTCGTATCAACCTGCAGTGAATTTACTGTAAGTGCATTTCACGACAACAAAAAACCCCCTCTTCTAATACCGTACCTCTGAATATCCTCTACCAGTGGCAGCAGACTGCTGGGGTTCCGAATTAGTTTATCCAAGAAGGAAACAACATCTGTGAATTTGGGTCGATGATTCCTCTCCTTCTGCCAACAGTGCAGCATCAGTTGGTGCAGAGCCACGGGGCAGCCCATCGGTGCCGGCAGCCGATAGCCCTCCTCAATGGACAGGATCACCTGGAGAAATAGTTGGATGTGATAAGGAGTCTAAATGTGGAAGGAGCCCGCGGTGTCGGGATTTGTTAAGCTTAAAAAAAACAAGCTATTTGGTTGGAAAGCTGGAGACCTCTACTGTGCGTCATACCAGTTTACTCATGACTGGTTCCAGCTTTTCTGTGATGCTGCAGACTGTAGGACACGAGACCAGATCGTTACATGGACTTGTGTGTGCTGCTGAGGATGTGGGGTTGCATTAAAAAGAGTAAAAGTTCTGTCAGTTGGTTCTGCTTTTCAAGGATTACAAAATTTCTTAACTTTTTTTAATCTGTGTTATGACACTTAAGCAATAGTATGATTACACTGGGTTACAAAAAAAAAGGTGTCTAGGATTTTTTAACTGATTTAGGACATTTTTGCAACACTGAATCCAAAAATAAAATCTGCTTTTCTGTATCAGGTCAGGTTTTTATGCCAACTTGATTAAAAAAATAATAATTTTGCCACTAAATCGATGACATTTTTTGACATTAGCGATTTATTTATTTTAGCATTTCTCATATGAAATCAGAGTTTACAGAAAAAACTTCATTTTCTAATCCTTTTCATGAGCTAAATGATCCACAAGTTGATGAGCGTAAACATTTGTAAAGGTAAATACGAGTAAATTGCATGTTTCATCAAATCAAAATTTTGACCTCATTGAGCAAAACCAGAGTAATATTTGGATTCAGCTCATTGCAACTGTCCAAAATCAGCTCAAAAAACTTTGACACCAAAATGTGTGTAGACCAGTGTTGCTGCTGCTACTGTTCTATGCAAGTTGTGACACTTTCTGTTAAAGTTAAGCTTAAAAATAAAGTTAGAATGGTATGATCTCTTCACAGAGCAGCACAATGTTGTAAATTGCAGACTTAAACCTTGAACGTATGCGACGTGTAGCTTCTGAGATGATCCGACTCATTTTCTCCGTCATTCTTGCGCTCGCTCTGCACCATCAATCAGTTCTCCACATGTGCACATGCCGTCGGCGGGCAGCGCGTATTAACCTCCATACGGTATCTGTCCCATTCTCTATGGGGAAGTGCAGTATCTACATGTATCTTTGCAGGGAGCAGTGGTAAGTGGCTGACCAGGATGAGATAGTGTAAGGCTGGTTTTGTGGCTTGGCTGGCCTTTTGCCTTGGAAAGCACTTCTAAGCAATTCCCAAACAGCACAAATCCTCCCCAAACCCTGGGACCTTAGTGAATGTGTGTGTGTGTGTGTGTGTCGGGTGTCTGCGTATAGATGAGTGTGTGTGTACGGGGTTGAAGGGATTACGGTGGAGCTTTCACACTCAGCGGAGAGACGGATGGATCTGCTTCCATCGCGGTCCCTCCAATCCCTGACCACAGCCCAGGGATCAGCGGGTTGCTCAGCCACACTGAATCCACAGCTTTAAACTCCCCCTCGACTGGACCGAAGTCCTCTGAACCTCTGACCTTTACTGCTCTTTTCTATTCCCTCTTACTCATCTTTTTCATCCTTTTTTTTCCGTGGATCTCACCAGCATTTCTGTTCCTAACCTCCCCTCTCTCAGAGGTAGGTTTTTGATGTGAGTAAACAGTCACAGAGCAGGTGAAAGGGCAACAACTTTAAGAGATAAAATGGAAAACAAACTCGGAATTTACTCAGCGGAGCAGGACGTGATCTGAGGAGTCAATGTTGCCGTGGTGTCGAGGTTACAGAATCGGGCTTGTGAGACAAAAACACGACTCACATATTTTGTTAGTTGAAACACAAGCTTCCATGTTCACGGAATATTCTGTGCAGTTTGTCAAACAATTTAAGCAGGAAAGACCAAACAAAAAAAGAAAAGCAGTCCTAACAGCTTGCATTTGTTTGACTGAATACACCAAGGCCACGTCTCCAGTAAGGCCAGTTACTTCATAAACATACAGAAATAAGAAGGAAAAGAAAACCGACCGGACAGAAGAAAAGCAGCTTCTGTTGAACACTGAGCCGCCACAACAACAAACACACGCTTGGCTAGTTGCTTGTACAATCAGTGCAATAGCTGTTCAGGGTAAATAAAGACAAATTGTATGATCCTCTCGTCAAATCTGTACAAATAACGAGGTAAAAGCTGTCTGAGCACACTTTTAGCTTGATGAGATTTTCCTGAGGGTAATCTGAAAGCTTTTGAATCACATTTTCTAACAAATGTTCTTACCGGGGATCAAGCGCAAAATATTATTTTCAAGTAAAAACATAGTTTGTTCCTGGTTCTGCTGGTAGCGACCAACTGCAGCTCCACAGGGAGGGACGCCTTCAGCTCTAAAATCCTGGTTACAGTACTGACGATGGGCTTCTGTCACCAACACCACAAACTGAAAATGGATCTCGTACACGCCGATCAGCCACAACATTGATTTGTTTTTCCTGCACGTCCCACAGACGCTCGATCAGACTGAGATCTGGGGAATGTGGAGGCCAAGGCAACCCATTAAACCACTCCTGAGCAGCAATTTCTGATTATCAGAGAACACTGTTGCCATGAGGGTTGTCTGTAACGATGTCTCAGTAGGCGGTATGTGTCAAAGTACCCTCCACAAGAATGACACAAGGTTCTTTAGCAGAACATTGTCCAGAGCATCACGCTGCCTCTGCTGGCTTGCCGTCTTCCCATATCCCGCCGCTATCTCTGCTATCTCTACCCTGTCTGCCAATCACCAGTTGGACCACTTCTAGCTGCTACTATCCACTGCATGCTGGGAACATCCCACGGGATCGGGCCATTTGGGAAAATGCTCCGAGCCAGTTGTCCAGCCATCACAATCTGGTTCTTGTCAAAGAGGCTCAGATCCTCATGTCGCC